CTGAGAATTTGACGCAGTCAAGATTAGGTGCACTTTGTTTACAATCAATAGATGTTGGCGGTGCAGGTGATTGTTTCTTTAGATCTGTATCACATCAATTATATGGCAATAGCAACCATCATATGCATATACGTACTGCTGGGTTCAATTTATGAGAGACAATCCAGAGAGATTTATTGAGAGCAATACCGAAAATTCACGGCTAAGATATCTGAATAATATGTGTATTCAAGGTACATGGGCTGATGCACTTATCATTCAAGCAGTTGCAGATATACTACTGTTTACCCAGTTCAGGAAAGAAATACTTCCTCTACAATTATTATAGGTCATATTGATGAATGCTACTATGTATCAACCACTGCCTTACAATCAAGTGCCTCCATTTCAATGTGCAATGAATTAACAAATGATACTCAGTCATCAATAAATAAGCATTTTATTGTGTGTATATATAACACTGGATGACATTTTTTACAGTGCAAGACAACAATCCATGACCACAAAGATCTATTTCAAAAATGTCTTATGTCTCTTATCATTTCACATTCACAGTGTTTTCGCAAAAAATAGATAAATGTGATTAATAAATCTCAATGATAAACCTGATGATAACGTACTTGACAAAATGTGAAGTTGTGATAATTCTGTAACAAACTTCTTTGCAAACTTTGTCATTACCATTCAACCCAAAACTGTCAGTGATTTTTGCTTTTTCACTCAAACTTAAAAACAAATGAAAACCTTATACAAATCACACTTATTGACATCACAGTGTTACTAAAAACACTACTATAACACAGACTGTTAGCTGTAATAACACTGAACAAACTTCCAACAACATTCTCCTTTCTCATGCATTTTGTTGCTTTTCTTCTGCATGAGTTAATTCAGACTAAGTATTAGCCTCCACAGAGGAGGGGGGAGGGCTGCGAGAGGTAAACTATATCTATGCAATCCCATGTCCCACTGGGCCCCGGTAAGTTCCACGTAGTGGTTCTAGTTTCTATTCTCCTTTCAAGCTGAAATTGATGCCGTCTGACGATGAATTTCCTTAGAGAAATCTCATCACGCTTCAGTTACAACATATGTTTAGTTACTCAAATGGCGTGATGGCTACTCAAATGGCGTGAACCAATCGGAAAAAGGTATTAAGTCGAAGGCTGACATTTAATTAAGGGTGCGTTCGATTGGGAAATCTGGATTTAGATTTTAAAATCCGGATTTCGGATTTGCAATCGAACGCGAAATCCGAAAACGGATTTCAACGCTGAAATATTTGTTTTTGGATTTTCCTTTTTACCGTTCGATTGGGAAATCCGAAAAAGGATTTGAAAGACTGTCCTTAGGAACAGCGGTCTTGCATGCGCACGCATAAATAGTAAAAAGAAAACCGCTGTTCACGAGAACAGTTTAGCAAATCCTTTTTCGGATTTCCCAATCGAACGACAAAAGGGAAATCCAAAAAATCCGGATTTGGATTTCTTAATTGAAATCCACCCTGAGGACGGATTTCTCGGAGGTGAAATCCGTTTTCGGATTTCGAGTTCGATTGGGAAATCCGTATTTAGATTTTGAAAATCTAAATCCGGATTTCCCAATCGAACGCACCCTTAGGGTGCGTTCGATTGGGAAATCACTATTTTCACGCTTAGCGTGAAAAATGGAGAAAACAATGGTCTCCTGTGCATAGGTGGTCCTTTTCTTTCTCCCTGGAGGGCCCAAATTCCCTCTTCCCCTTCCCTTTTTAACGCCTGCCACACAGGCTATACCGGATAAACAAAGTATAATTCGTTAGACATACCTTTGAGCTCAAAACATGCTTGTTCGTCTCACAATGAACCGATTAGCCGGAAGATTTACGCCAATCAAAATCAAAACCGGATAAATATTTTGTATGTTTACATTTTGTAATATTTTGTATAATAATGTTTTGTTTTTCTTTCGGAATTATGTAGCTTTCCTTCTCAATTCTCTGAACGCTTAGGCTCGAGCGAGCCATAGTTTTAAGCCATTGCGTGATTTAATGAAATCGCATGTTAGCTGCAGTCCCTTTATTAATTCACGTCATGCAAAACAGTTACAGCCTTAATGTACAAAATTGGTCCATTTTCATCACGTTTTTCTAGTCTATCTACATTATTCACCTTCTCGACAAAAAAGGTACCAAATAGACAGTCATAAGAAATTGACAGTGAAACTGTCACTGTGCCTTGGGCTTGGTGGTCTGTTTATACACGCAAGAGGTTTGAATTCAAAGCCTTCTTGTTGTCTTTCCTACTTGATATAAACCATAATCATGCAGGTTTAACCTATTGACTCTTATGAATTCTAGAAATTTTCACGAAGAGCTTCATATATAAAATACTGAAAAACATTTGGTAATGCCGAGCGCCGGACAGTCCTGCTTTGGAGCCATCATTTGAATTGTCACACTAATTTCGTCCATTGACTTAACTGAAGTTTGTACAACTGCTTTGTGGCTACAATTGTCAATAATAGAGTCTGGGAATGAGATGGCTTGTGGTGAGCCTCACATGACGTTCAAGTTCTCAGATCGAGCGTGCGGTTTTTTTTCCCCGTGTATTAAAGACAGCATATGCTTTACAGTGGGGTTTTAGAGTACTTTGTCCGTTAAGATTTCATCCCGGGGAGGGGGGAGGGGGACTCCGCATATGAAAGGGGTGGGGATGCTCGACAGAAATTTTGATTTCAACCCCTAAAGGGGACCGATCTGGGCGGGGCCCAAGCTTTTTTGACCCCTAAAAGAGACCATGTTAAAACACAGACAATATATATATATATTTTTATACTTTTTCGCTTGCAACCCTAAACGAGACCTTCACGGCTAAATATGATGGCGTTTTGCCCAGAGCACCCTATAAGTGAGGTCAAAATCCGAAATTTACACCCCTAACCGAGACGACGAGCATCCCCACACCTTTCATATGGGGAGCCCCCCCCGGGGGGGGGATTTCATGACCTCTCATTTTTAGAGATTCTTGCCAAGTAATGACGTCACGATCCAGATGTCTGCTGCTTGTTCGACCGTAGTTTTTTAACATGGAGTGAGTGAGAGTAACGTTACTATAGAAGGTTAAACGGTAACGTCCCACATCTTGAAGAATTATCAGCATGGGGCCTAGCACGATATTATGACCCTCATTAATTTGTTGAAACTGCTGTAGCGTAAACGTAAAACATACATTGCCTGAGGGTCTAAGCGGGGAAGATATAAGAGAACCGTTCCGCAATAAGAAAATAAAATAATAAAATAAAAATAAAGGATTCGTTTGAAAAGAAACGCTACGCGCTGTCTGGGTAGTTCAGTGAGTTTTCAACATAAGTGAGTTGCGGTTGTAAAGAGTTCCAAGAGTCCACAGTTTCGAGCTCTAAGCCTTCTAAGAGAAGACGAAATTCCTTAACAAAAAGTTTTCTTCCCAAAGACCAGTTTACGCCACACTCCTAATTACCTGTAGACTTTCTTTTCTCGAGTTTAAGTTATTTAATTAGTTAATAAGCAAAGCCAAACGTCAGTTAGGAGGTAAACTTTCAATAAGAGAGGAGTTCTTAAAGTGCTTACAAAAAGGTCACACTTCCAGAATCAAAAATTGCTTATAATCTGGTGAGGAATGAAAAAAAAAAGGTCAGGATTAGCTTTATCCCCGGCCAAGTTTACCACAATCACTGGAGCTAACAAAGAGTTCGTGACAACGACATCTTTGATAAGATTCGCCTGGAATTTGTGTCATGACCCTATTTATCCCGTCGACTTATATATAGAGAGCCCGATTGTTTTGTTTCTGCAGGATATTTATCTCGTGTGACAAGATGTTCTAACTGAAAGAACAATGCGGCGTTCTCCACTTGTGCATGCTTTGGGAGACATATGACCCCTCATGGAGTCAGTTCCCACTTTTGAGGACACGCATTTTTAGCATTGTAATTCACGGCCACAGACAGCTTTTGCTCACAAAAGTCGTTTAGAGCTCGGTTGTTCTCGGTCTTTAGCTGGTGTGTAGTGTTCAAAGCATTTTGCATCAAGAAAGACCATCTAAGGAGGCCTTCCTTTCAAGGATGAGCGCCTTAAACAACATCCCTATGACGGCTTTTGGCCTGCTATTCCTCTCGTTTCTTCTGTTAAATGTCGCGCACGCCCAAGAAGTCCCTGGAGGAGGTGAAGGTGGTGGAGGCGGCGATCCTGGTGTAATCGGCGGTGGTGGTGATGGCCAAGAAGGTAAAAATACACTGTAGACAGTTACCTTGTGTACAGTTAAATCATCTCGGGACTTAACTTTTTTTCTGCGTGATGGCCCCTATTCGAGAGCTTTAAAAGTTATGATTGCATTTCATGAAAGGGGATTTTTTGCTCTTCTAAAGCGCTATTTCACCAATTCATGCCACGAAAAACGTGATCTTGTAGCTTTCGCTCATCATATAGTTACGCTCATTCATTCATATTAAATTGATCGATTTTGTAAATTATTTTTTAAGCTTCGGTCGCTTAGTTTTTCGGATAAAGAATGTTTTAAAAGGCTCAGCAACTGTTTTTGTCATCATAGCGAACAGTGAGGCTCCGAATTTCCCAAAAGATGTAAAGAATTGAAAATTTAAAATAGAATGATGTACAGTAAAAGCAGTCAGGTTAAACTACTCGGTAAGATGACATTTCTTGGATATAAACAATCGCGCATTGTTGACAATTTCGTGGTAGGAAAGCTTGATCGAAGCGAGGAGAGACCATGTCATTCAGTGAGCATTACAGTACATAATTTGAAAAGGTGTTGATCCGTGAGATTGGATTTTAAAAGTTACCTTCGTTAAAAAACAGGCAATAGCAACGACATCAACAAATATTGGACCGAGAATGAAACGCCAATGTAAAATTAGGGGGCTTAACAGTGTTGCGTGTATTCTCCGCGGGCATGTTAAACTCACGCAAACTTTCAGATAACAGAGTCATTAGTGTACTGTTCACGTGAACTATTAAAAATGTACTTTATATTCCCTATGTTTGTCATAATAAGCAGCTGCGGGCCACAGAAAATGGCATTTAAGCTATTCTAGTCAAAGGAAAGGCGTAAATTTTAGGTTGAATAAATAACCTGGCCCTGTCATAAGTCACGATTGCCGTAAGTTGACAGCCACTTAAACGATAAAGGGCTTTTGTCGACTCGATCTTTCAAATGTTTGTTTGTCTATCCAAAAGAAAACTTAAGTTAAAGATTCAGTTTTTTTGGAACTGGCTTTATAGGAAAACGAATCCAAGCTTCGCAGGACACGTTGCCGAGCACAAGAGAATGAAACTCTTTGCTGTCATCACTGTTGCATTTGATCTTATTTTGATACGCAAAAAAAAATCTTCTCCCAGCCCCGCCTGACCTTATCTGCTCCAATTTTCAATTCAAATTTCGTAAGCTAAGTTTGCGCTAGCCTCCCACGCTGGCTAAGTTTGCCCGGAAAGGTCCGGAAACGCTTGCGACGGAGTATGCGATCCAATTTCCTTAAACTTTGCGTAAAAATGAAAAAAAAATAGTTATCTGAATTAATTTTTAGCTCTTAATCTTGCCACATGTACCAATTTAATTAAAACCTGTTCTTAATTGATTTTTTTAAGGCTGTACTTTCAATTTTGATTTACAAGGCCACTAACCTCTTACTAGCCCCCATGTTTTAATATTTATTTGGGGGACCTTTTCACTTTAAGAAATTCATCAAGTAGATTAGGCCTTTTTGAAGATGACAGGCGTAGCTATCCTAGTTCTTTTTAGTATAACAATCTTTTCTTTTTTAAGAGAATCTCTTAATCTCGTACTCAGATCTCCCACGGCTAAGGAAAAGACAAGCGTAAGACGGAGTGAGATCTGGGAACAAAATTAGAGAATATGAGAGAAAAATAGTGGGAAACACGGATAAAAAGGGAAAAACAGGGTGAAACAGAGGAAAAAATAAATAGTGAGGATATAAAGGTGCGCAGGAGCCGGGAGCCTATGAGCCTATGACCCATGACTGTTTCTATTTTTCTATTTTTATTGTATAATCATTTACTTCTATCTGGTATTCATAATTGTTGTTAATTATTAACCACTTAAGTGAATCTTAAATTCAAATTTTAGGAGCCGTTAAAAAACATTTTCTCTCGGTATAGCTCTGGCCCTGAGGAAGGCTAATTTTGTTAGCCAAAATATTGGCCTATAATAAATCAGCCCTTTGCCGTAGTGCCATCCCTGCATTTAGTTTTGTTTTACTTTACACATCAAATGACGTCTGGCTACAGCATCTCTTTAATTAGAGATCCGCCAAGAGGAACCAGTCAGTCATATTTACGCATTGCGTGGACCTCTGCATGCATTCAAACAGTTTTGCCCCTAGCTAGTTATGAGCTCCTGAGGTACGGAAATAAACCATATTTTCGGGCATATTAGTGAACAGACGCCCTTTCCCCTCCAAAAAATGGAATTTTTTTAGGGGGGGGCGTGCGTCTGTACACAGGATATAGGGAGTGTTACATGCGATACTGGCCGATTATCTAGGCTGAAGTTGGCGAAATTTGTAGAATATCTTTAATATATAGTAACACCCGAGGCTGAGATTTTGTGAAGAACATTTCGTTCGTGTCGATAGAAAATAAACAACTATAAAATCAAAGCTTTATTTTATGATTGAAATTAATTGTAAAGGCTTCCCATTTTTCCTGAAGGAAGCTGGTAACAAAACGATCACCTGTGCAGAGTGATCAGTGCAGATATCATACAGGTTTATCCTGGCTCTTGTTAACTGAAATATAATAGGACCGATCTTCAGCAAAGTAGACTACCAAAGACTACCAAACACCTTAAAAATTCTGCGGTACAGCCTTCACTTTACGACGCATGCTTAGACCAAGTCAAATCTCCATGGCTCGCGCCGCGGAGGGTAATGATAACACAAAATGCTACTCTAAACAATAAATAAAAAGAGAGACAGTATGGTAAATACGGTCGTGGATTAAATTTTAATCCTGCATTAGCACTTGTCGGCCTTTAAGCAACCGGACCCAGCGGTGAATTGAATAGCAAAAGTAACTACTCAACAATCCACCTTTAGAATCTTAATCCTGCATTAGCGCTACTTAGTCTTGGGAACTGGTTTCTGCATAGCAAATACATGTAAAGTAACTCTGAGCTAAAATATAGTTTGCGTGACTATGACGTGAAAGTGACGTATTCACATTCCGAATAGTCATAGTCGCAAAGCTAAATTTGGATTTACTTTTGAATTACTTTTGGGTATACCGTGTGGAACGGAAATATTGATAGTTTATTTTTGCGGATTGGTGATTTTTTTGTTTTGCGGAAACTGATTTTTGCGACTAGGACACATTGGTTTTTCTCGTTGATAATTAATTTTTGCGATTTTCAAAAAGTACTGAGTACCTTCCCTGCTAGCAGAGGTCCCTCATGACGAGGCAAAAATGTGAGGAAAATATGAAAATATATTTCATTCTTGTTAAGTACTTACAATCAGGGTGCAATAGAAATACATATTCTCAAACAGCCACGGCAATGGGTACCCTGTACAAAAGCAGTAATTCATGGTACCCAGTTTTGTTTCTGAATGAAAGAGGCAGGTTGTGATTGAACAGACACGATTTCTTAGTACTGAATTTTTGTGTAGCGAATTTAAGCCGAGAAAAGGTTTTTAGTTTGTTATCAGTAGTCTTTTTATAAGGTTTGATTTAAAACACTGCGAACCGACCGGATTACGGTTGAACACGCCAGAGTGCGATTTGTGCCAGGAGGAAAAACCGAGTCCATTTTATAACTGGGTTGTGCCACTGGCAGCCAAAGTAACAACAGAGAACAAAGGAACGAGCACTGATCACTGGTGCTAACCTACAAAGACAAAAAAATCGCACTTCACAAGGGCTATAAGGACATCTTCTTCTCTGTCTCCTGAATCCTCTCTCTTCCCCCACCCTCCCCTTCCTACCTCTTCTCTCTCTCTCTCAAAATATATTTATACCTAGCGATAATTTCACATGTGACCTTTTGGGTATGTCATTTTGCTGTCCGTATCGCAGGCCAGGGGAGTTACTCCCTATAATGCTCTGTACAGCGAGGCTCCGCCCAAAAGGGGTACCTTATTCAACAACAACAACAACAACATAAGCTTTATTTGCATGACTATAATTATGTAGTTACAGTATTGCAAAAGCTTCAACATAAAAAAAAACAAAGCAAACAAACAAACAAATCATAACAATGATAATGCAATGCAATAATTACTATAGTCAATCAAGTGTCATCAGCATGATTTGATAACAAATTATTACGTAAATCATTACATAATGAGACAAATTTCAACAAATGTGAATTTACGGAAAAATTCTGTGAATTCATCAATTTAATTATTAATTCTGTGTAAGATAGCTGACAAAAGTCGACAAAATTTTGTTGGATTTGATTGTAGAATTTCTCCCTTGGGATTGAATATTTTGGACAATGAAAGAGAAAATGAAATTCGTCTTCAATTATACCAGAGTTACAAATAGGGCAGAATCTATCGTTGCGGGAAGTTTGATTATATCTTCCAGTTTCAATCATGAGTTTTGTGGTTACTTATACGAATTTTCACTAAATCTTTCCTATTAGCAGAATTTCTAATTATTTCTAATTATTCAGGCTTCAGGTATATGAAAGGGTAGGGACATTTGTCATTTCGGTCGTAAAAAGGCCCAAAAGGGTTAACAACTGTATTTTATGGCTGTTAACAAGTCTGCAAAATGCTCTGGTATTGTGGTTTATTCATATTTTAAAGACAGAGAAATTTAAGCAATTAAAAGGGATGGAAAGTTCTAAACTAGGTAATGAGAAAGGGGTGCCATTTTTCAATAGAAGGTATACGACAGGGGTACCTTTTCTCTCAATAATGGTATATAAAAGGGTAAGGGGTTGGACCAACCTCGTCCCCAAGGCTTTTCCCTTAATAAACGGGTGGCCCATTTTTTAAGGGAAAAGCCCTGGGGACGAGGTTGGGGTTGGACCTCAGGGCGCAGTTTCCCCGTATAAAACGTTGTCGATTATCCCCCCTCCCCCCATGGGATCGGAGGTTTGACTATACTTGGCCGATAACTTCTGTATTGTTATAGTTTTTTACTTTTCCAACATGAAATTGTACTGACCTGAATCTTTAGCAACTTTGATTTTGGCCATTATTTTATAACACATGTTTTGCATTTTTGTCGGCGTAGAATGTGCCAAGGACTTTGATCTGGTCTTTGTTATTGATGGCAGTGGTAGTATCGAACAGGCAGGAGTTGGAAACTTCAAAAAGATAAAGGACTTCATCAAGGATATTGTTAATGGTTTCAACATTGGCTTCGACAAAACGCACGTTGGCGCACTCATCTTTTCTTCGTCAGTATACATCAAAAAGGTGTTTGGCCTAGACGATCACTATACTAAGTCTGGCATCAATAGTGCAATCGATAAAGTAATATATCCGTCTGGAGGTACGTATACAGGAAAAGCTCTACGCACGGCAAGGGAAAAGATATACACCGAAAGCGGAGACAGAGAGGACAAACCTAACGTGGTTATCGTTATCACTGATGGTAAAGCTAATGATGATGTTGAAGGTCCTGCTAATCAGCTTAGAAGCCTTCCTGCTGCCATATTTGCTATCGGAGTTGGCACCAATTTTGACCGAGCTGAGTTAGAGAAGATGGCTGGTAGTTCAGCCAATGTTTTCACTGCCGACTTCGACAATTTGGGTCAAATTATAGAAAATATCAAACAATCGGCTTGTAAAGGTCAGTTTCTCTTCGTTGTCCCTAATCTAGCAAGCGACTGTTTTTGACTACTAACAACAACAGCTGCAAAAATTAAACAAAGCAGACTTTTACCATTTTTATTGCAGCCTAATTTCCATGTGCTACAACCCCTCGTTAGCGACCACCTCCCTTGAGCGACAACCTATCCAAACCAACAAAATTTTGCGAATCACATGCCTTTTATATTGTTGAAAACTCTCGTACACTTGACAAAACACTTAACGATTAGCGCTTATTTTGCTGAAATTTGCATTTTATCTGCTTCTACTAGACCCTGGAATAAGTGTACTTACTTGATTAAATTTGACTCGAGGGTCTTTTACGTCTTAAGTAGGAGAACTCCGCTGGAGATTCCCACGCATTGGAGTGAACTGACAATCTCGGTCCCAAACAAAACAACAAAGGTCAAATTCCTACACGCTTTGATCACTTGATCAATTTCATTAGCAATTTCAATTTCATTAGCTCTCTTATTTTGAAAAGTCTTCTCTACCGTTTTCTACTTGTACAAAAACACGAGTGAGCTTACGCAACAAGACGACAGAAAGATCAAAGAGGACAACAAAACGTTTTTGTGCGACAAACGTGATAGGGTTATTATCTGCATCTTTTGCCGTGGTTTTCACTTACTGTGTTCTTTAATGGGTCAATTCAATAAATTTGGCAAGTGTAATTTACAAGTGTAGCTACTGTTTTCAGACTCTAAAAAGTGGATACACTTGTAAAAGATCTGGTTAAAGGAAAGTGAAGATTTTGTCACACAAGGTTTGCTGTCTTCTTTCCTCTAAAGTCGACTAATTCCCCCCAAGCACGCAACAGCTTGGAAAATTTAGTTTCATTCGCCTCACTGCCTGGCCTTATAAACTTCATACTTACCATTTATTTCATAAACTAATTTGATTTCCTCTTTTGGTGTTATTTTTTCGATAGCCGACGACCAGCCTCCTCCACCACCACAAAGGGTAATGTCATACACTCACTCTGCAAAATTCTAAAAACATTTCAATTTCATTTGCTAAAATGCTAAAATACTAAAAAGAAGCAGTATCCTTTGCTCACTTTTAATTGTTATGGATTTGCATTTCTGGTAGCGAGTAAGAATGTTAGCCTAAACAGGTTGTAACAGAAGCGGTAATTAGTACAAATCTTGCAAATTTCTTAGCATCCTGAATGTTGACTTATCTTATTTGCCCAAGTGTACAGAAATTATTTCTATAGATTTTAGAATATAAGAACCTGTTTCAAAATTCAGGCTAAACAGGCTCTTGTATAGAGCGGGTCTAACTGGCAATTTTATAGCCTAACAGGTTGTTAAAAACCTAGTTCGATTCTTTCTCTCTGCATTTTTAGTCGAAATGCTTTTGATTTCATTTATCGTGCCTTGAAGAAGCCAAGTTTTAAAAAAAATAGAAAATGAAAATTGTAACTCCGCTTTCACACACTCGCCTCCACAGATAGGGCTTCCCGGAGATCCAGGACCCAAAGGACAAAAGGTATGTTGTCACAGATTTTTTAAAACGTACCTTTTTCTCTTTCGTAAAGATCTCAACTCAGTAGCTTCAGTGGTAGAAAGCACACTGTAAATCAGAAAGATTTCTTTTAGCCCCCAAAATGGGGCCGTTTCGGTGATTAAAATAAAGTCCTATTTTTGAGTCTAATTTGGCTCCCTTAAATCAGAGCCAATACAGTCCAATTAGCAAGGGCTGATTTGGTCCTAAGGGCTGAAATGGGCCTAAGCGTGGGCTAGAGTAGCCTTTTGATTGAGCAGTTTTGGCCTAAATCGTGCTCCAGTGGCTCCAGGAAGGGCTGAATCAGACATTGGTCTGCAGGGCTAAATTGACAATTTGGGGCTGAAACCGATCCTTTTAATTTTCAGTGCAGGTTTTAGATATCATGGTGTGAGAGGAAGTTCAAAAACCAGAAAGAACCTATCCAAAACAAGTTCACGATCCATCGTTAATTGTGAAAATCCCCTTAATCTAACTCGTTAACATCAAAGACGGCCAAAGTTAAAGTAAGCCAAAAACTGTAAGTCCCCTTTTTCAAATGAAAAACCGCCAGATTACAGCTGGAGCGTTTTTATTCTGTAATAGTTACTCTGGTTTTTTTTCGTCATTCTGGAATTAGTTGACCTTTTAAGTCCACAGTGTATAATTATCGTCTCCATAATGGACTCTGGGATTAAAAGTTGTCGCCTTCTCCCTTAATTTGGTTAAGTTAAGGAAATCTTAGAGCTTCATACCCGGCATCATAAAAATCTAAGATTTTGAATCAAGGTTGGTGGGAGCTTGGACCTGAAGACGAAATTTTCACGTTGTGGGATTTTGTTATGATCATGTCACATGATTTACCTTTGGAAGTACGTAACGTAACGTAACGTAATACATACCATCCAAGTAAAGTTACCGGGGACGAGATAGAGCTGGGATGAGGAAAATTAAGGGTAACTTAGAATTACTCGCCAGATTGCTCAAGGGTTGTGATCTTCAGAATGACTATTCAAAAGTCAACTCGGCTGCAACAGTATTGCACAAGCTAATTTAGTTTAATGTTTGAAAGAAATTGAAGGCTTTTTCGTTATCGATAGAGTTTTCTTTAAAGACGGTTTTTTTAAGGCTGACTTATCCTTGATAATTGTAGGGAGAGCCAGGTCCTGTTGGCTTAGATGGACCAACTGGAGTCAGAGGACCGACGGTAAGATAACGGTGGATGCTTAGCTAGGAAAAAGAAGAACGGAAGTCAAAGAAGAATGGAAGTCATTCTTATGCAATAACAGATCTCTTTCGAGAACGTCTAGTAGGACCTTGTATTTGCGGAAGCCTTGAACGGTTGAAGATTCACATCCGGGACTTGCATCCGGGGCATTTTAAATGAGAGAGCGAGCGCGCAAAAAGTATTGTTGCTGTGTGTTACTGAGTGTTGGGGCGGCTACGATTAAACTGTGTTAATTCACAAGCCTCTGTGGCGGTTTTTCTCTACTATAGTGTCTACTAACACTAGCCATAGAAAATAACTTTGTTTTTAACTGAGTCTTTGATGAAAGCTGATAAAATCTATACCTACACATTCATGGACATTTTTTCAAGGATTCACTGCTTTATCCTGAAATAAGGGTAAACGGTCATTAACAAAATTTCCCTATTTAGGGCTCTAGAGGAGATTTTGGTGAGAAAGGAGAACCAGGCGTAGCGGGCCCTCGTGGCTTACCTGGCCCTCCTGGTCCTCTTTTGGCAGTGCCCTCGGGGGGAGGAGATGGTCCGGATCCAGATCCAATACAGAACCTAATCGGAGAGGTAATAACACTGTATCGTCTATAATGTATCTGTGGTACTCTTTCAAATTGCAACAGTGTATCCATTCAATCAAAGGATGCATGTCTCATTACACGGCTTGAACTGGGTTTCTTCTCAGCTGAGGTAATAACACTGTATCGTCTATAATGTATCTGTGGTACTCTTTCAAATTGCAACAGTGTATCCATTCAATCAAAGGATGCATGTCTCATTACACGGCTTGAACTGGGTTTCTTCTCAGCTGCCGAGGTTAGAGACAAATCCTCCTCATCCCGCAAATCGTGACCCGATCACAAATATCATCGGCGATGGTGCGATCTTACAGAAAGCATCTTGTGACCTTGTAAATTTTCATGAGTGCTGTTTTTCTTTTTGTTAAAAGGTTGACGTGAAACTAATAGGTCGAATGTTATTATCTCGATGCTGTATACCTGCGAGAATTCATTTTTGTCTTTTTTCGGAAACATGGAATAATGGCTGTTATCTGTTATATTTTAATATTGTTTTCTGCATTTTCAGATTCGTCCCCAGGATTCTAAAGGACCCCTCGGGTTTATTCGACAGATAGCTGGACCTCCTGGTGATACTGTAAGTAATAAGACAACGTTGACTGTGACGACCTCGTTCCCAGTGTCCTCTCTTGCCCGTCCCCCGAGCGAGAGAGAGAGAGAGAGAGACCTGGGATCAGGTGATATGGTTGTGCGCATGCGTATGGTGGTGGCCATACCGTTGAGTTGGTACGTGTGCTTTAGTGCTGATAATTGGTTTTGTGAACGAGGATGTGACTGTTACCCTTTTGGATCTCGTTACTTTTTGAATGGTCAAACAGACCTTCGTCTACCCAAACCAGGAGCCCATAACCCGGAGCGAGCAAAAATCCCATACTAGGCCTACGTCACGGCGTTTCTACGGACCAGTTTATTTTGAGACATGAGGTATCAAAAAGGAAAACTAAACGTTATTAAAAGGAAAAAAGTTTTCGAAGTTTGTGTTATGTATGAACAGCAAATATAATGTAGTTGGTGGTTTGTTCCTGTTTGACGTTTTGAAATATAAACATATTTTTAGGGCTCTCCTGGAAAATCGGGCCCTCCTGGAAATCGAGGAACAGAGGTAGGACTGTAAATTTGTTAGGCTACTAACTATGATTATAGCTCTTTCACTCCCAAAACTGGCCAAAGTCTCGCCTTGTGTAAAATAAAACAAGACAGTCTTCGATCCTGGATTCCACGCCGTGGATTCCGGATAACATGTACTGGATTACGGATTCCTTGTCAGTGGAACTGGGATTGCGGATTTCTATCGTTATTGGGATTCCTCATTCTTCGGGCTGAATTACAGACTTCATGAGCAAAACATTCCCTTGTTTCGGATTCCGGAATTCTGATTATCGTACATTGGCGAAAAGTCAAAATCAGATAAAAATTCCAAATTTAGTTTTATAAAACGTTGTTGAAAAAAAAATAGTAGAATGTGAAAGTGCTGCCAAAGAGTCATTTGAAGATTCCATTATTTACTCCGTTTACTCTGAGTGAAAGGGTTAAATAAGTGAACCATAATTATCACCAGACTCACAGATTAATTTTACTTTCCACAGTTACTTTTTATTGGCGCCGGATGCAAAATATCAGCTTCCGATGTTCGGGCGTCAGCAGGTTTAAAAGTTACTCGGCAGTCTCGACTTTTACCCTTCGCTTTTTCTCAACTTCCTTCCTTCTCGCTATCTCGCTCCGTTATTTTTCTTTAGCTGTGCATTAACCAGGCTTTATTTCCATGGGAAAAATGGGTTTGAAACAAGATTTTCATTGGAATTTTCGCGTTTTTCTTCGGATTCCTTGACTGAAGCCTGCTAATTTTGGCATGGTCTTCCTCCTTCAAAAGTTGGATGATACAGTTTGTCTTGGCTGTTAAAACTAATGACGCCACAATTAGTACAAGGGACGTGGATCTCGGGCGGTTCAGGGGGCAAATGGGTTAATTGCATGTCTTTTTGTAAAAACAAAAGTGTTTTAATTCCTTTATTGCAGGGCGTACGAGGTGAAGCAGGAGAGATGGGATCCATTGGCCCTCCAGGAGAAGCAGTAAGTTGTTAATATCAAAACTCGTAAAATGAATATTGACAATTTTATTGGGAAAACTTTACCTGTGACACAGAGAACAAAGGAGTTCCGCTTGTCGTGGGAACATCCACAACTCTACTAAAAACCAAGGTCTCTTGTAAAAACCCTTTCGACTACGCTGTCATTACTTTGCATTTCTGTTACACAACATATATACCGCAGACTTAAAGGTCTGAAGACACCAAGATCGGCTTACTATTACGCGACACTTCGTGCCTTGTTCGGAACGCTTTGCGAGTGAGTCGTCCTTCGAGCAACGTTCGTTCCCACCGAGCATTGGATAATACTTTACCAGGTTTGTAACAGAATCGCATGACGGTTTGATCGGTCAAGTTCATATTCGTTAAAAGCTGTATCGATTGTAAAATTTAACTGCAGTCAGGGTCACAATTAACTTCTCTTCACCCTGTACCTATAATTGTGACCTGTGACCACCATCCAACCTCTCCACACTCATCAGTTTTCAAAACAAATCTAGTTTTCCAAAACAGCGTCATGTAAATGCCTGTAGTAAGAGGAAAAGGAATCATTTCAAAATACTGTGTTAGCAATAAGCCTCCAATAATTATTAAAGAAGCTTTAAGAGAAAAGGTGGTAATTTTGAACTCGGCACCGAAAGAAATAAAAAAGGATGTAATGGGGATCCGATACACTGGTACACTCAACAATCAAGAGGACTGCATGTATATTTTAAAGACGTTTATTACAATCCAACGATCAAATATAATCACTTCCTACTATCAAATTCATACCTGCCAACCTCCGGAGATCTAAAATCTGGAGACTCTCTATTTTGCAACTACAGCCCCCCCCCCACCCCCGAATGTCAACAGCACCAACACCCCCACTCCCCCCGCCCCGCGCCAACAAATTGCCTTAGGACATTATATGATGTCTTACATGACGTACATGGGATCAAAATGCGCTTTCATCATTGTAATGACGAACTAATCTTTGTCATTGACTAAACATGTGCAAAAATGTCCCAGAAACTGTACAATGAATTAAAAAAAGTTCGAATTTTGTGAACAAATTGACTAAATTTCAAACTAAAGCACAGAAATGCTCAAAAGTCCATTTTATCCGGGAGATTTGGTGCTCTAACCGGGAGATCGCGAGATTTGATGAAAAACTTGGAGACTCCCGGGAAAACCGGGAGAGTTAGCGGGTATGCAATCTGGAACTAACAAGGAACTAACTGCATTCTAACTGCACTTAGATTTTTTCATCTGTCCTTAGTACACTAAGACAGTATTTTTACTTAAAACCCCTGTACAGTATAAATTCCCGTTTGTAATATAAAATGTGTCTCGCTTAAGTTACTATTGCAAAATTCCACGTTTCCACGTAAATGTATGCAGTTGTATCATCATTTTATACTGTAGATTCACGAAAGGTTTTGCTTACATTATTAATTGGGAAAATCTATTTAGTTCACGTTACAAGTATCAATTTCTAATTTTAATATATAATCACAAAAGAATCACATTACTCTAGTCGGTTTTCTTTCCCGACAAAGTTAAAAATGTAAACTGGGGAAAGAAAAACTTGACCAAAAAATTGCTTCTCCTACGGGAAGCACCAACAGGATGGGACGTGGAGAGGAAAGCGATAAGAGCTGCCCATAGTTAAGAACTCAGCAGGCAGTTTTTAAAATAACATAATAATTAAAACCAAGATATTTATTTCATCATTGAAATAGGGTGCTCAAGGTGCTACAGGCCCGCGAGGAGAAGCTGGACGAAATGGAAACGACGTAAGTAATATTAGCAACATACAGTCAACTCCCTCTAAGACGGACACCTTTGGGACTGGCAGTAAGGGTCCGTCTTATAGAGAGTCAAATAAAGGGAGTAACGAAAGGCAGGGACCAACTCTAGGTGTCCGTTTTAGGGAGGTGTCCGTCTTACAGAGGTGTCCGTTAAGAGAGAGTCGACTGTATTCTAGTTTGCAATTTCCGGCAGTTTATACATGTATTATTACTCTCTGCAAAGAGTTAACTGGAACAAACTTGAATAAGACTAACCAATTTGGTAATACCAGTAAAACATATTTCTGGTCGGATTTTTGAGAACGAACCTGACGAAATATCTAGCCATTTGAGTGAAATAGGACTAGAATGCAGGGTATTCTACTTCAGTGGCAAGTCCGAAAATCACACTAGTAAACGAAAAGGAAAAAAGAGCAAAGAGAAAGAAAGGAGGGGAAGAGAGAAAAATTATATAATTGGATGCGCTTTTGGTTTTTATTCATGCTTCTTTGGAAACTGCTTGACGGAACAGGCTAAGTGGCAGTAACGTTTTAAAAAATCCAGACTTTACAAAGTAGAGTACGAATGGAAAAAACACGAGTAAATAGCTTCCCTTACAGGGAAGACTAGGATATGAAATTAGTTTATAATCTGTGTTCCATATTTAATGTCGTAGGGTTTGCCTGGTGCCACTGGAGAGCCTGGAGATGCGGGACTTGAAGGAGAGGCGGTATGTTTTTCCAATCATCCTATTCTCTAGCCTAAGCCACAGACGAAACTAAACCTCTGGTTAAGTCCGTCTGCGAGCCAGCGCTGTAATCCTGGTTCTGCTAAGCTGTGTACCAAGAATTTGAGTACGCGCCATGATTGGCCAGTTAAAAAATGCCATTGTTCATTTGCCAATCAGGTTGAAGGGTCTCTTCGCCGCTTCGTAGACGTTACTAATCAGGGTTATATTACGTCTGCGACGCAGGTTAACTTTTTGAAGATTTCCTAAAATTAAAGGCCTTTGTCCGCCAAAGTGAACTTCTTCTTTGGTTTTTGAAAGAGGTTATAATGCAACTGAGCCACTTCGAGAATGCAAGGGCGTGTTCTCATTAGTGCCCAGTGAGTACGGTACTCGAGCACCGTGCCCGGGACTCAAAGAGTGTGAATGCTGCATTATTGTGCTGTTCAAAGAGCATTCAAACATTTCACACTTTTAAACATAAGTGAGAGGAATATTGCAATTTGATTGATTGTTACACCATGATATTAGTCAACCGACACGAACACTAGTGAGGCAAGAAAAGAAAAAATCGTCCTAGGTTAAAAAGGACCCATACCTTTTGACAAGTTTGTTTGTAAGAACACCCACGTAGTAAGTGTGTATACCGCTGAACGATGTTACTAACAAAAACGTTTTTTACCTCTAGGGTCCACCCGGTGCTTCGGGCCTACGTGGTCTTCAAGGCGTCAAAGGAGATCGGGTAAGACACATTTTCTTTAAATGGGCGAATCTTTGTTTACGCTTGTTGCGTCAGTAGCATGGGCCTTTCATAATCTAATAAAGCTATTAAAATAACCCCTCTCAATATTGAAAGAGCATAACAATTTCAGTTAACCCATATTAGCTTAGGAGTAGCTTAGGAGAATTTGTCTTTGAAAAACGCGAAACTTTACAAAGATTATATGGCTCATTAACGTTTAGCCACCTAGCAATTTCGCAGTTTTTGATTGCTGCAAAAACCTCGCTATAAGGGGGTCGTAGGTCAACATTCGAGGGTAACAGTGCACTGTTTCGGTCTGACGTCATAGATTTTGCAAATGTTGCCAGCTCAGAGATTTTGGCGCGAAACAGTTTCATTTTTAGATGTCACGTGACCTCGAAATAACCAATGAGAGCGTGCACTGTTGGGAAAAAATTTCCAGCTATATAAAAACGTATTTATAGCCATTGTAGGCAAATTTAGTCTTTTATTGTTGTCATATTTTAGGGTTCTCAAGGCGAAGCAGGCGAGCCAGGAGACAAAGGAGCCCAAGGCGCGAGGGTATGTAAAATTTTATTTGCCAGTAGTTTCGAAATCAAAGTGCATCTGGGCGTTAGCCGGTGACTGGTAATAGAGACACTGGGTAGAGTCAGGAGCTCATAACCCGGAGTGAGCAACTCATGGGAGTATGCCTATGACACGGCGTTTTCACTGATGGGCTTTTTTCGCTCCAAAATCGTTCTAAAAATAAATTGGTCAGTGAAGAGGTCGTGACACGAGTACATGGAAGTTTCTTGCCACGGGTTATGGTCTTATGATAGGGTGTCTAACCAGCAGCTTAGGCCTAGGCCAAACGTCGAACTTTTTATGAGACGAACCAAAGTTAGTTAAGCTCATGAAAAGTTTGACGTTTGGCTCAGTTACGTTCGTCTGAATGAGCTTGTATCGTCCAACACATTCTATCCGTCTGCTTCAGACAGATCAAATGTCTGAAGATCCAATGAACCGATGAATCCTTGTCCAGAGTGGATTCGTCGGTTCGTTTGATCTACCATGATCCGAGTGATCTCAGATCACTGATCCTGATCTCGATCATCTCAAAGGAACACACCCCAAGACGACCAGAATCCATTTCGTTTTCCTTTCATGCTTAAATTTGAATATCCCACCGAGGTTTAAATAACAAAAGCCTTAACTTGCACAAGAAAGCAAAACTCCAAAGGATTTTGGTAGTTGTATTTGACAATATTTTTGAAAATCCAACTTAACTCCAAGACACGGGAACCTTTACACTGCAGACCCTGTTTACATCAGCACATTTTTACCAGAATGTACTCTAACTTACTGTAAGAAAGTTCTTCACTTGAACCCGTGGACGCACAGCCATTTTGCATCCTTCCCATGATATCTTGATCATGGTGCCGTCTAAGTCTGGTCTAATGTAATTAACATTTATGAGGGGTACTAGAAATGTGTTACGGTACACAGTCAACGCGGTACAACTGCCAACCGATAGAAATCGAGATCAAATTTTTTGAATGCTTCTGTAAAATTCTACCAGTATTCTATGGCAAGCCCTTTCTAGCGATTTAAATATAGACTCTGAGTTGTGAGTTAAGGTGTTTTATAAAGCTAGCTTACTTTGACTGCTGTGAATTTGTCTGGTAGCATAATTACACAGTCTCATCCCCTTTTGAACAGGTTAGGTTGATTTTGTTATCAATACTCCTCTTGCAGGGTCTTTCAGGAGAGAATGGAAGAGCTGGGGTGGATGGTGAACAGGTAAGTCATTCTCAGTAGCTAGCCGACCAACTTTGTTAAAACCAAGAAGTAAGACTGAGAAATTGTACAGGGCAAATTGGAATCTGATTTTGCATATTCTGCATTCATTAAGCATACTTTAGATGATGGCCAGAAAATCGCTTTTGTCAGTTTAGGCTTTTTTGGACAGCACAAAGGATCATGTTAGTAAGGGAAATCCATATGTCCGTATCATAGAGGTGACCCATGTATTGAGATAAAAATTCTACGAATCTTTCAAACTAACTCTATGTATCGTAGAAACGTGTCTTTCGAGATAGACGTCTACTTAACAATTATTCCTCGAGCTCGAATGGGCTCCGAGTCTATAGCTATTGACTCAGAGCCCAAAAGGGCGAGAGGAATAATTGCTTTAGTAAAATCCATCTAGTTGGTCAAAAATATCAATTTCAAAACCACCGCTTTCGCTACTAGTGGGCTATAACATATATACCTAGTAGTAGCTCAACCAATCAGAACGCAGCATTGATAATAGACCACTAGTTGGATTTTACTAGAGAGAGATATACCTTTACTTATAAATACAGCATGGTGTTTAAAGTTAAGAAACTTATGGGGTCGTGGAACTCTATGGAGATTTCTACATGGAGAGGTACGGCACCTTTCTCCTTGGCGTAAAACCTACATTATTTTGTTTCTTGTTTTCTCACCTATAGTTCCACGTAATAGATTCGCGCACGAAGATGTTCTCCATGAACTTATTTCATTGCGGCGAGGGCCTCGTGCTCTGCTCTGTTCTGTAAAATGTCAGTAGACATACCATTATTTATACACCACGGTGTTTAAAATTAAGAGGCTTATGGGGTCGAGTAGCACATGCAGATATTCTCTATGTAAAATGCCCGCCCTCGCCGCGCTCTGCTCGGTTTTATAAAATGTCCTATGAATACAAAATACTCAAATGACTACTTTTACTGGTTCAAACAGGGTTTACCTGGACAGAGAGGGAGACCCGGTGAGCCTGGCGAACCTGGAAACACAGTAAGCTATGTTCCGTATGATAATGTATATCTCAGATCTTTTTAAAATCCCTTCATCCCAACACTGCTATCCTTTTTACTTTGGGGGGCTTGTACATATAACGTACGAAATAAAGTACTGACAGCAAAACAGAAAAGCTGAAACCACCACCACCACCCTTGCACGAAAGTTTAGGTAACAGCAGAGGGCTTCGACGTGCGGGTTTCTAATATAGCCTACGCCACAGACCAAACTAACTTATCTTTTATCCGGGGTTTAAGATCACTCTTTAAATTCCATGAACTAATTATTATAAGAGGCCAGATCCGAGAGATTTTGCTCGATGCCAGACAGTTTCTCAAGTTGCAATGGTTGTGGTATCCGATGATAATATCCGATAGCTGGCGTTCCTTCTAGCAAGTAGAGCCGAGTAAGCCTTGCTTCGGCTCGGTCAAGCCTGGACTCTACCGTAAACTGTGACGTCACCGAGAGATTTCTTTACTTTCTCGCCCACCTTTTCCCATACTTTGAACTGAAAACGGAGAAAGAGAGAACACCTAGGACTAGGCTAGGGCGGAGTGGTATCATCAACAGCGCATCTAACCAGCCCTGATATCACCCTTTTATCTCATTATACCAGTAAGGTTACGGAGTGCGGGTGACACCGATCTAAGGTCAAACGCTCTTGCTCCAACGCTGTGAGTGCTTTTCGCAGGTTTCTTGTAACGTTCAACACATGCGTGATCAGATTACGAGGTGTAGAAGGTCGAAACGCGCATGATCGCATGTTGTCGCCCGCAATTACTATGCATACCGGTACATTTTTTCTGAATTGCTTGTTGTTAATTTGTTTGCAGGGACCAGAGGGGCCTGCTGGATCGCAAGGAGCCGAGGGCCCAGCAGTGAGTTTGTATTATCATAACGATTTCTAAAAAAACGTAAAACGGTAAAAACGAACAAATTATCAAGGAAAAATGTTTTTGATCATCAAATTACAGCATTTAAAGCGATGTGGTGCGAAAATTATGGTCGATCCTTTACATCTCCCTTTATTCCTTTATAATACTAATACCAGTGGCATAGGTTAGGGTGCGAAGATAATGAAAAACTTTCGCACAAATAGAGTCTAGTTGCACGTTGACATTTGGCTCTAAGGTTCTTATGAAAGCATTTCGTGCATTAAACAGTCAAATTTGTCCTTCCATTTCTTAAGCACTTCGAAACATTTCAGCAGGTCCTGAGGGATCGTCTCATGCACGTTCCTGTAATGTTTGACAATGGCGGAGGACTGTTGTCTATGTCCTTTTACACGACTGTGTAAATGTCCGCGTGTGTAACCTACATAGCCTCCATCACACAGGTCACATTGGAAGTTATAACTACACACTGTTCAGTTACGATCGGTAGCTTTGCTTCTTTCGCATTCAGTTCTTGTTCAATTTTTCCGCTGGCAAACACAGGCTGCATGGTGGTGTTAACTTTTAGCCTCATATCCTTGAGTTGTTGTTTCACAATATCTGAATTGCTTTTCTAAAAAAAGAACCAAAAAGTGATGAATCGGTAAACATTGATGTTAAAAGAATAACGAAAAAGTAGTAATTTTTTTAACAAATACTACCCAAAACCTAAGGAATTAGTGAATGACTATAAACTACCTTTTTAAAAATTTATGCTATCGTCGCCCTTTTTCTATTTGTGTATGTGTTCTTTTCGGTTTGTTTGTCGTATATTAATAATAACCTTTATTTTAAGAGGGTGACACTTTTAATTAGAAATGGTAAACGTGACAACCATCAATCACTTGCTAAAAAAAGAAGCGTAAGAGTCGCACGAGGCGATAGCCGAGTGCGACTCTAGCTTCTTGAGTGCTTAGCAAACCTCCCAAGTGCATCCATAACTCCATGGTTGCACAGCTGCAACGTTTACCATTTCTTTTATAACATAATCAAAAGAGAAAAACATTATTTTCCATTTGCCTTCGGTTGAGTCATCGGTACGAGTTCATGTATGCTGCCATCTGTCCGCGCGTAAACAAATCAAGTTCTATGTTTTTCAAAAACTTGCCTTTGAGTTTTTCTTTCGGCGAATCAACCGTTCTCCATCTTCAGGTAAACTGCGAAACGTTTTTTGTTGTTATTCTGAATGGCATTTGTCTACTTGCTCTTAATATTAGGGTAAAAACTTTGAGGGAAAACTATAACACCAGCTAAAAAGACTCTAAAAAATAAGCTATAAACTAAATAAATGAAATAATTATCAAGCTTATTTATGTGACAATTTTGAAATAAACGTAAAGTAGAAATGAGAAAATTTGACTGTAATTCCTTTAGAATAACAGGTAACACTAATTTTAAAAAGAAGTTAACTAGATTTGCATCGAAATCTGTCTGGGAAATCCAGCTATAAAAATCAAACTTGCAACTGAAATTCGCCGACACACAGCCGGCGCTGAAGCTGTTGTTTTTCGACCGTTCTCAGAACGACTGTTATGAATGAACACTGAGGAACAAAATAATACACACAGAAGTTATTTTTTGAAAAATTTATTTGAAAACCCAAATGTTTCTGTACTCAAATGAAATTCGCTTATTCCAGTGTAATGTGCCCGTTTAAACTCAACTAAAATTTTTAATCGATGCGATGAAAACTTCACAACAAAGCTGTCTCGAATTTGAGCGTGTTTCCTAGAATATTTGCTTGAATTTAGCATTAGCTTGACCAAAAAGTCAATAACACAATGGTAATTGATAAATTTGCATTTCAAACAGACTTTCTCTTCTATAAAAAAACACACAAAATGTACCTTAAGTCTTCGCTCGCTCGATTATCCTTCAGCCGATTCTAGCCGCGAGGAAAACAGTGATTAATTCATCCAAGGCAAATTTGTCGCTTGATCTTTTGTCTTTTTTCCTTCAAAACGACAGCTTAGTATTTCCTTCAACTTCCACTTTTCATCTGTGCATTTCATTGGAGTATTTTACCGTCAGGAGAGGAGATTTGTTGAATTTGCCTAAATTTTACCGCGCTAGCTCAGTTTCTTGGCGTGCAACCGCGGGCAAATGGTAGCGGCTAACTGACCAATCAGAGCGCGCGATTTCCTTTTGTTATGTTATAAAAAGTATTCTCCCTAGTGGCCCTCAAATATTGTGGCCCTCAAATATATATTGTTCGCGATCTTTGTTCCTTTTGCGCTAGATGCTTTTGCTTACTGTATGTTCTGCTTATCTGGTAATTTCACATCAGTTCTACGTTCTACTTGGTTCGGATAGGTGTAACTTTTCAGCCGTTTTCTCATCCACATGATTCCGATTGGAGATTTTTTACTTCTTGTTTCTCGTTTGCTTCGTTCGCTTTTGCAGCTTTTGTTTGTTCAGTTTTGTACGCTTTTTCGTATTTTGACTTTTCATTTGTTATTTTGTTGTATAAAGTACCGCTAAGCAACGTTTCGCTACGTATACAAAACTTTCTTCCACATTTGTAGAAATAAAGTTGATCGTTTGGGGACGCGCGTGAAGTCTGTGATTTCAATAACCGTTTCAGATAATGAAATTGTTTCAGAAAAGTGCGCCACAAGGTCAAATTAATTATGAAATATGGCATGCAAGAGTGTTCATGTCTCATGAATTTTAATGAATTATATTAGGGACTTCCGGGTGCAAGTGGGGTCTCTGGCGCCAGTGGAGCCATTGGTGCCAAAGGAGATCAAGGACCTCAAGGCCTTCAAGGTCGTAGAGGAAGGACTGGTCTCACAGGTCCCGCTGGCCCGCAAGGAGAAAAAGGAGAAGATGGATCACCCGGACCTCCTGGTGTTGACGGGCGGCAGGGATACAAGGGCGATGCCGTAAGTATTTACCAGTCGTAAAAAGGTGGAGGACTATATCATCATATCATGATTTGACCTGCTAAATTTTTTACACTTGCAAGGATGGTCTCATAAGTATTTGATAGTCGGGCTGATGAGTGCGGCGCTTTTATGACGCCTCATAGAATCTAAATAGGGACTTAAAGATCCAACGACGCGACGGCGACAAGAACGTAGCTTAAAAAGTGAATTTGCGTTCTTTCAGTCTTCATAGCGATTATTCCTACCCACTTACTTTGTCAATTGTAGGCGAACCCTCCTGAAGCTGAATTTCAAGGGACCAAATTCAAGCTCAGAAAGAGAAATAAAATTTCGTCGTTGGTTGTTTACGTCCTCCATAAAACGCGAAATTAGGCATTTTCACGTCGTAAGTCGTGCAAAAACGGGAAAGAAATGTACAAAAAAGTGTGATGCACATGCGAAGTTGTTGTTTTGCTAATTAAACCAATTGTTTTTTTGACGTTCTCGCTGTCGTCCGCGTCGTTGGATCTTAAAGTCCCTACTATGATAACCACTCAAGCGTGACTAGGTGACAAGAGTAGTTTTTCTCATACAATTTTTTTTTTAATTTTCGACAGCCGATAAAGTCGCTTCTTTCAGTTCCTGCTAACAAAATTTTCCAAAAGCGAACTATTTTCGTGTTTACAGAAAGTTGATTACGTGACCGACTATTACATAAGGCCTATTCGGTCACCTTTTCAAGTAACTAGGTCAACTTGACTAAATGCTTCAATGAGGTCTTACCTAAAACAGTATGGGTTCAGAGCATGTGCTTAGACCCTCAGAAATACACTCCATCTATAAAATAATTTACCATTTTATTCGTTCCATCTCAAGACCACAATTTTTTGTAGGACCTGTACTGGCGACCACATTCAATTGACCTCACAATCTCAAAACAGAATCAGAAACTCACCTCATGGAGATGAACGTGATCGTGATCACATGATCGCTGGAGATAGTTCCAACTAGAACTGCCAATCTGAAACCAAATTTAGCCCTGCCATTATTTGTCTCCCTGCTTCTCCATTTCCCATTGGAGTCCCACGTTTCACGGAGGTGCATGGTCAATGGATGATGTATCTTCTTTATCTGTTTTTTTTTTCTTTTTTTCATGTGCGATGTTGAATTTCAGTGCCAATCCTTTTTATCCTTTCTCCTTTATAGGGCTCTACAGGACCAATGGGCCCTCCTGGTGATGCTGGACAAACAGGAGCAGACGTTAGTAATCACGTCTTGATATTTCACTCCAGGCTAGACGTAGAATGATTATTGCACTGTCTAGTGTATTCGAGCAGACTGTTATGGCGAGCCACGACATGAATAGATTTTTGAGGGAGGCATTAACCTTTCCAGCACCCCTTGTTTGTCAACAACAGGTGGCCAACTAATTAGTCCTCTGTTGAGTCCAAGTACATGTACAATGTCATTAACGTCTATTTGGCAGATGGAGTTTTCTTTCAGTTAACGCACACGGAGCTCCTCAATCATAAATACCGTCGAACCCCTCTTTACAGACACCTGCTCAATACGAACACCCTGTTAATGCGGACACTTCCATTGACCCCTTCAGTGCTCTTATTAACGGGGTTTGACTATAAGATCTTTCCGGGGTAGAATTTCTGTTTCGTTATAATATCCTATCGTCTTCTTGTTGGTTCACTTAGTTTGCAGAGGTTTGGCTGGGATCCCAATCGAAGCGTGCGTTGAAATCATTGACTACAAATCTGGTCACTTCTGCCATCTAGACCCCATTTGGAGAAAATCTGCCCCGGGTAGATGGGTCACCCCCATAGCCAAGTCAACTTTAGCGAGCGCCGATATGAGAAAAAAGGTTGACGCCTTTGCCCGAGCTAATAGTGCTTGTGCTTGCTCTGATTGTCTCGCCTGGACCAAGTCATTCTAAGTGGACCCGCCTGGGTGACCCAAAGTTGGCCCGGCTAGGAGAGTGACAATGCCATCACAAAAGGGTAAACAGGCTAGGCGCGCCACACTTCTAGCCGAGTCAACTTTTTGTTTCTCGTGTAAACGGTTCGCCATGTTTTGTAAGTAAAGGTAACAAAAGTTGGCTCGTCCAGGGTAGGCGAGTGACCATTTTACCCAGGGCAACGTTTCTCTATATAAATGGCTATGTTTCCGGGACGAGATTGTGGTAGTAGATGGCTGAGCATCTTTTGATCAATTTAATGCTCATTTAATTTTTTTGCAGGGAAATCCTGGTCAGCCGGGAGATCCTGGAAGAAGAGGAGACCAGGTAACTTTCACTTTTGCTTATAAAAATGCTAGTTTCCTATGCAGCCAGCTGCGTCTCATCATCAAAATTTGTTTTTACCACAGGGCGCCCCAGGAAAACCAGGAGAAAGGGGAGCAACTGGGGAGAAAGGATCAGCTGTAAGCCATATTTCAAGTTTTAGGCTATGCTTACACTATACTGGGTTGCTTTTGCGCCAGCACGAAAACCGTACCAGATAGGGCTTCTGTTCACACGTCGGCGCCATTTCTGTATGTAAAGGCCCGGAGGGAAGCTGCGCCGCGCTGATCTCTGGTGCGTCACTTATCAGATGGGTTCTGTGCCACACTTTGGTGCAGTATAAACTTGCAGTGTTCGGACCGTAGAGGAAGTGATTAAGTAGGAGCGGGGACTGGAACCAACTTAGACGGAAGTTTATATTCAGGAATGAAGACTGGAATTACGTGCACCAAACCCTCTCCGCCAACCATTCCGGCGCATGTTCAATGTGTGTGAACGACTCGCTCCGGTCCCGAGTCAATGCTGTCATACTTAGCCAGATAGCTTTTCGTGTCGGCCCAAAAAGCTATTCGGTATTGTGTGAACATAGCCTTAATGAGAGCCACATTTCCAATGACTGGCAAAAGACTAATCCAATTTTCTTCTATCTTTTCCAGGGAAGCCGTGGAAACATTGGGGCTCCTGGTGGCCGCGGGGTCAGCGGAAGAAGGGTATACTATTGTTTAAGCTGTGTTCTAAAATATTGTTCCATTGTTTTTCCTTTTTCTAACAATAAATTTGCCAACATTTGATATATGGTAGCATTTTGTGACAGCTTTTTTAGACTTGACCGTGTGTGGACACCGTTCAATCGTTCCCATCATTTTGGAGTTATACCTGACCATTACCATTCTGATTGATTTGTGTAACCACTTGTGGACGGCCAGGAATCTCCTATCGCAAACAACAGCGCAGTTATTTTCATCTTTAATGTTTGCCGGCTTCTGCTGCAGTCTCCCCTACTCACTAGGGTGGCAATCTAAGGTGTCATCCTAAAGAATGGCAACAAAGCAATGCCCAAATACACTTCATAACTTTGAGAAGTGATGAGACTGCTATCCATGCTTAGCCGTCGTTTCAAACAAATTTAAGCAGAAATGCGAGTTGTTATCACGTTTGGAACAACTGACGACTTTGATTTTTTTTTTAGGGTAAGCCAGGCAGGAGAGGTCAACGAGGGGCCATAGGGGAACCTGGACCACCGGGTCCCCAAGGAGATCATGGATACAGCGGTGCAGAGGGAAAACCTGGTGAAGCTGTAAGTAACCCAAATTAGTATTATTCGCTGTAGCGAGTTTATTGGCACTAGTTAACGGTTCATTCACCAAAAGCAGCCTCGAAGATTTTTGGATTTCTGACTTAGAGATAAAGAATGTGAGGTCTTAAAAATTCTACCAGATAGACCAATACCTGCAATTTCTATATATTAAATTCCATACATGGCTCTGGGGCTCTGGGAAAAAAAAACAAAAGAAATGTATTTTTTATTGCTGAGCCTGAAGGTGATTTCTTTTGTTTTATTTCCCTAAGCCTCGGTGCCACGTCTGAATTTTAATATATCGAAATTACTTATTGGTGCGAAATTTTTTAAGCGCCTTATGATTCTCTATATCCAAGATCAGTAGCATTGGAATTGGGAATTTTACAACAGGTCAACTTCGCTTGACTCGGAAAATGGCGTTACGTTTTTAAAGAAGGAAATCAGTTATTTAAAAATGTATGGGAACAATTTTTCATCACTTCTAACCCCTTAAAGGCACAACGCACACAGTAATGGGAAAAATGTCACATTTATCTCTTTCTCTAAGTCTATTAGCCTGCCCCACAGACGAAACGAAACTCTGGTTACGTCCGTCTGCGAAACAGTGCCGAAATCCTTGTTGTGGGCCCCCACTTGTGTACCAGGATTTGAGTATGCGCCATGATTGGCCTGTTCAAAAAGCCATCGTCGATTTGCCAGTCAGATTAAAAGGAAATTCGAAACGCCCTTCCGGTATTTCGTTCAGTCCGTTGGAGGCCTAAAGTAGAACAGGGATCTCGGCACTGCTTCGCAGACGTTACTTACCGAGGTTAAATTACGTCTGCCACGCAGGCTACAACTCGATGTGCTTCCCTTATTATTTCTTCTCTTTAAGCTGATGTGAGTTTTTATCATTTGTAGGGTCAACAAGGCAAAAGGGGTACCGATGGTATAGCTGGAGAAAAAGGAGATGATGTCAGTATAAATCATGCATCTTAACAGCTATGTTAATTTAATTATTTTGGTAGAAACCAACAAGCGAATTCTGCAAGCTGACTGGTTATAACATTTTCACCCTCTGTTGCGTGACAGTATTAAGTAGCGAGCAGGCGTTTTGAACAAGAACCAAGCAATAGCATCCTCTTCAATCAATCATTTTTACGAAGTTTCTGAGGAAAAGATAAACTAATCAATCAGTGATGCTTTAAAAAAATCTAAAGCAGCCATTAAATACGGCATGTTAGAAGTGCAAATTAAGTTGTATTTTGTCTTCGACGAAAGAACGACGTTTTTGTGAATTCAAGTCGTGTGGACGTGTACCCAAGGGTATGCTACGTTTGTGTTATAGATAGTGAAAATTGGCTACAACTAAAATAAGTCCAATTGTTCTTTTCTTAATAAGTGGCCATCTATTAATTTCTAGAAACTCTACCTCGATCTCGCAACCTGTTCGTCAAAAAGACTACATGTGCTAACGATTGCCCTTACTAGAATATGGAAACACATTCTCGATCGGTCGTCTAGAATTCACTAACCAAATGTGGAGTGAAGGATTTGAGTTCGATCAACCGTTCGTCAAGCGACCACGCCTCCCCTACCCATCCATTCATTCATATTTATAAGAAACGGCATTTACAGCAGTTAAAAAGGATGCAAAGTTCTAAACTAGGTATGTAAAGGGGGTACTATTCGTCAAAGAAAGGTATACTAAAGTAGCACCCAGCTTTTCCGTCAAAATTGATGTACAAGATGTTAAAGGGTTGGACCTGGGGGCGGAGTCTCCCCGTTTGAAACTTTGTTGAATACCCACCCCCAACCCCCTGGTCAAACAACAAACTACGGTCAATGACATTTCAACTTGATGAACAGAGGGTGGAATTTTGTTTCTTCAGGGAAGCCCAGGAGAAATAGGTGAGCAAGGCAGACCCGGCATTCGGGTAAGTCAAAACAATAATTAAACTGTTTTATTAATCATTCGACGAATTGCAAAGCTCAAAACATCCTGACCTCTACCTAGAACAAGCGTACGTTTTAGGAAATGAACAGATTCTCTTTCATCAAAAAGAAGTATGCATCCTTTGAGTGGCTTTTTTGTGTATCCTAGCTTGTCTAAAATGATTAGCGATTAGTCAAACTTATCGCAATGGCCGTTTTCGCACTACTAGAGAAAGATGATCGGCCGTTTTTATGCTAGAGACGTTAAAGTCGTCTAGACGCATTTATAACGTCTGAGACGTTAAAGTCGTCTGTTAAGTGCGTCGTTCGGACGCACGTAACAGAAGACGTTAAAGTCGTCAGTCGTTAAAGTCGTCTGCCTTATTTACCGTTTTTATACTAGACGTTAAACGTTTAACGTCTTAGATGACTTTAACGTCTCTAGCATAAAAACGGCCATCCTTGTTCAAAATCCGTCAAAATTAACGGATAAAGAGAGGATCATTCGTCCAAAATTAAAACCGTTTCTTTTTCACGTTAAGACGGATTATCCGTCTGACGCGAATTATCCAACAGATAATCCGTCCCTAGTGTGAAAACGGCCATTAAGTGGCATTACTTACAATCATTATTCTTGTTCATTTATATATTTATTTATCTCTTTATTTATTTTTTGCTGTAAATATTATAGGGAGATCGAGGGTCACCTGGTAGTGCTGGAAAAACAGGAAATCCTGGAGCACAGGTAACTAATAACAATAACGGTATGAGAAAAATTAAACACAGCTGAACCCTACTTCAAATGAAGTGAAACTCAATTGAGGTCAGAAAAACGGTTCTTTATAAGTTGTGGGTGAAGGCGGAGGCGTGGGGGATGTCCAACTTGTCTGAAATAAGTCACGTAAGAATGTTTTTAAATTTACAAAGCGATTTAGAAGGGATGTTCATGTTACATGTAGAAAAACAACTTGTTAACTTTTTTCCTAGGCTCGCATTTTTTAATGAGTTTAGTAACATCCTTAGCCAACTGGCAAGCTCTCTGGGGCGCTCTGGCGGCGGGGCGATCAGAGCGCTCCAGGGAGCTTGCTAGCACGCTACAACAGACTTAGCGGGTGTTTCACAGCAAATAGGAAGATTAGCAAAGCGAACGGGGCGATCTTGATACTGACAACAGTGCGCAAATCAAAAACAGAATTGACCAATGGCGGAACAGGAAATTGAGCAACAGAAGTAGGGTTCAGTCATTTCCTCTCATTTGACTTTGCGTGCTAAATCTCTGGTAATGATAAATATTATCACAGCAATAAAGATTTTCTATCGTTCACCAAGCTCAAGTGTCTTCAAGTGGTCGTAGGGTGGGGTTCACTGAATTGGTTTTCTTTTTTTTTTTTTGATAGGCGATAGAATAACTTTGATGCATGACTTACCTCGATTTTAATGCTCGCTCTTTAGAATTTTATTTTACATTATTTTAAAGAAACAATCAGCTTGTAAGGCCCAGACATGTGTAAAGTAAAGGATGCGCCGAAGAAAAGTGCTACTTTCCAACTACCCTTGAAACCCGTGACCTGATCCAATTTAGCAGCCCTCTTCTAATTTCTTAGGCGCTTTTATAATTCCTTAAGGCTCGGAAAAATCGGGTTATTTTGCAAAATTAATCCAATACTTTTTTATCATTCAACTAGTATGGGTGTTTTATTTTGAAAACACGGAGGGGAAGATCCGCTGGCAGTGCAAACTGCGCATGACCAGACCATTATCTGTACGCAGTTATTTGAAAGTGATGTAATGATCTCTAGACCAATCAAAGACACGGATCTCTAAGTTTAAAAAAAAAATTAAGTGCATATTTTCATTCATTTAAATTTGTATTTATCTTTTAGGGTTACACCGGTGATGATGGTCGGCCAGGCAATGCCGGTCCCGCTGTAAGGAAGATTTTTTTT